TTTAAGTTGCTTATTTGATTTTTTAATTAAAGAAATTTAGCAAAATTTAATACAAAATATAAGATTTTTTTAAAATTTATATTAAAATTAAAAATTAAAATTTTTTATTAATCAAATAATTTTTTTTAAAAAATTTTATATAGTAAAAATTATTTTCCATCTATAATTATATATATATATTTATATATATAAACTTATAAAAAAATTTTAAACAAACTTTTTTTGGTTTTAAAATTAAAATTTAAGATAATTTTATTAATAAAGTATTAAAAAAATTTTATTATTTTTTTTTATATTCTAAAAAATATATCTTTAAAATTTTATAATAATCAAATAAATAGTTATTTATTTATTATAAAAAATATTTGCCCAAAGACTTTTTAGACAATCCGTAAATACTGTATCTACATTACTGTAATAAGATCATGATACAGTAAATGCTTTACTTAACATTTAAATGATTTTTATAAAATGTAATTTAAATTTAAATTACATTAAATAAAAATTATTCTTTAAAATAAAAAATTTTATAATTCATAAATAAATATTTATTAAATTAAAACAAAAAGTTTAACATAAAATTTTTAGTTCAGTTTTTTTTTTTTTTTTGACAACCTGTATATTATTCTTCCTTGTATCTTTAAAGAAGTATGTTTGAAATTACAAATCGATCCACCATGACTATTGCACATAACAGTGATTCGTAAAAAATGTCTCTTTATACAGTATATGAACATTTGGCTCCGATTCAAAAACATTACCAAAAATTTTTCATTTGTTAACCTTGCTCGGAAGAAATTTCCAGTTGAATTACTGGCTAATAATATTATTGATAATATCGCAAATCCAAAAGATAGTTCTGTCTTTGTCTTATGCTTCACCCACTTAATGACAAGGCACTGGTTATAAATAGCCTTCTCTTAATTGTCACTGAGCTATTATCAAATAGAATATAGTCACTAAAACTACTAAAGCACAGTTCGAATGATAGGATCATTGCTTAAAGAAGGGTACGAACTTTTATGCCATTAGAGAATTATCCTGATACTGTCCACTTTGCGATTGAGAGCAAACCAGTGCAAATCAGGAGCGAACAGGGTGTAAGAAAACCTTCATAGCACTTACTACAGTATTGAAGAAACAGTTGGTGTACATTATCGCTTGCCCTGCTTGTGTAACATCTCTAATAAATATAAACAAAAAAACGGATACGATTAATTTTTCATTCTCGATACCGAAGAGTTAATCAAATACTTGCGGATGAAAAACTTGAAGCAGATTTCATAATAGTTCGTAAAAAAAGAATTACTGGTCTTGCATTTCTCGAGTTAACAGAAGAGACTTGAGCTCCGTGGTTTCGAATTAAGAACGGCTATAACATTTATAAAAATTTATCGAGAGTCTAGATCACAAGCTACAAAGTTTCTCGTCATACAAAACGCTGGAAAAACTAAAGGATGGGCTCTGCATATACAATGTCAATGGGGAGGATATAGCGAGCATCAATCAATTCAATACAGGTACATAGTATTTAATTTTATTTATTTCATGGCAAAACTGTTACCTCGGGGAATGATCAGAAAATTTTTCTTGGCAAAAGTGATCGAACATATTTTATATGCTAATTTATTTTTTCATTGATTAGTTTTCAAGAAAATTGATAGCGATTAAGCTCTCAAACAATGCATTTCAGAAATTTCATTACGACTCACAAATAAAATTGATGACAGATGCAAATGAGATGACACGCTATACTTTTATTAAATCTATATTGCACGTATCGATCGCAATGGCAAGACGACAGACAAACAAGGAAATCGATATTGAGCATCAAAGGGATATTTCAGGTGAGGAATCTTCTGGGAGGGTGGACTGATTCGACTTGTGTATTACAGAGGGGAAATCGTGAAATATAAAAATAGGATGCATACAGATAGGTCGCTATTCCTGCCTTCTCGCAATAATTGCTTACATTTTTTTACGTTTGCATCAGATGGGATATATTGTACTAGTAAAACCGAGTATCAAAAAGATCTCACAAAAAAAGCACTTAGGGTAATCAGGAAAATTTGAGAGAGATGATATAAAACAGGTGATCGATATAATTGTAGGGTTATTGAAGGATAGAGTAACCACATATGATGAACCCGAAAGCAAAAGACATCGCTGGACGACCAAAAATAATGGGTAGATAGTTTCTCTACCTCATATGTATATTATATTGTATCAATAAAGTGATTAGACCTAAGGGGTTTTTCATGGGATATAATTAATTTTATGTGTGGTAATGAGGTATTGGCATTTAAGATCATGCAATTCCATTTATAAAAGCAATTTCGGATAATGTGTTAAACCATTTCGAAATTAACTTGGGATATTTGAAGAACAACACTGTCACATTCACTGAGGTCAAGGAACCCCTAAAAATACTAGAATTACTGTCAATTTACGCCTGTTCCACTTTGCCTGTGGAGATTAGCAAGTGTTTCCTTCATAGAGGTCTTATTTATTATATTTAGTATTTATTATAATGACAAGACAATATACATTCACATGACACCTTTATATTTCAAGGACATAATCTTCTCATAAAGGCAAACCAAAATTATATGCAAAATGTATATTCCATAAATCTAAGAAAAAATGATCAGGTGTTCCATTTGGTACGCCATTAGGAACATAATCAATCGGTAGGAATAGCGAGTTGATAGTCCGGAAAATTAGGACCATCGCAAGCAACTTGTCCACATCAAATGCCAGTAAGATTGTTAGCCGGAAAATTCGGAATATTCAAAAGAAACCTTGTTGCGGAGATATGAAGATTTGCAGTCCCAAAGGACTTTGCGATACAAGGTACAGTTGGATTTGGTTTGTCACGTCTGTAAAACAATGCGAGCAATGCAAATGTGCGATCTTGACGACGAGGAAAGAGCTTGATGGCTAAATACATTTGAATATTGATGCGTGGAGAAAAATATTCTGTTGCCAATTCATGCAAACTGTTTAGGCTCTCTGTGCTACCAATTTCTATGACCATGGTTGGGTTAGCCCTTGCACTGACTGCCTGCCTTTGTGGATGTCGACGTTTTCGCGGTTTAACACAAGCATCAGAACGATACACATCTCTCGTGTTCACAATGATATCCGTTTCGCCCATAACAACGAGTTCACGAGGATTCCAGCTAAACATCCTACCAATTAATTATCCTTGTATCACTGAATGAGGTTCTAGAGGTATCTCGTAGGCTATGATTTTCCCATCAATGAACCGGTGTTTAACAGAAACCTTTGGTTCTCCGTCACAAAATTCAAGATAAGTTTTGCGTGATACATTACTTACCACAACTATCCCTCGTCGATAAACTTCACCCGTTCCATCTTGTCGCTGAATGGCCATAAGGTGACCCCTTGCTTTATCAAAATCCCATGAGCTCCATAAACGAGACGAATCTGTATACCGGGTTTTTCTTGATAGATACAAAGAGGAGTCAGAAGATAAGAAAGGTGAATGATTTTGTTTTTGTCAATTCGTGGTATCATACAAACCCATTAAAAGATTTATTATTGTCCATTGTGATGTCACATACAAATAATTCAATGTTTATCACGAATTCGTGTATTGTCAACCAAGCATGTGCCTGTAATCCTTGACATGCAGTCTGGGACTAAAAAAACCGACAGATTTTAAAAGCAAAATACTGTACTGTAAACAGTTAGTGATTCGATAGTTTATGGTGAACTTCATATAATTGCGTAATTCTACTGTGACAAGCATGTCACACTCCTTCAATCGACTAGCAAATTTTTTTAATAAGAAACTGTATATGGGTAATGTTAATGACCAGTATTATTATCTTATGGATGCCTATATGTGTACTGTATATTTTTTGTCGGTATCTCAAATCATAAAATAAAGATAACGATGCAATACAATTCATTATTAAACAAGAAGTCAATGATGTCATCAATACGTAATCCCATACAGTATTCATGTCAATTCATGATACTTCTTATAAACGGAAGGTACGAGGTTATCGCATAAAATCCTAAATTCGTTTGTTTCTAGTAAGACATCGGTGCCCTATGTATTTTCTGATGTCGAGAGAACAACATCCTATATTGTATACTCTCATGTACTAGCTACAATCATTTTATTAATAAAAAAATATATTACAGTACTGTACTTTATAAAGTACTCCAACTAATCGACCCTGTCAAGGTATTTCTAGGGTTTGATCAACGCAAGAATCATTTAATAAATAGCCCACTTTAATTTTCATCCAATATGTAACACATTATCCTTTCAATGCTTTCTTACGCCATCAAACAAACGAAAGACTAAATATTCAAACTTAATGAAACTTGGACAATTCATAAATTTTTTTATTTGTAGGATGAGATGGGCAGAAAATCAAGTGGTGATAAAATAAAAATGATCTTACAGTAAAGCAATCATAAGATCATAATGCTGTAAAAAGCATGTGATGTTAATTTGTTTCTACCCACTTTAAAATCCAATCTCTGGCTTTTTTCAAAACATCGTCAAACTTTTTTTCATCAACTAATTTCCTCAGTGCTTTGTTAGCTTTTTCCCAACACATCTCACACTCATCCTTAAATTGCTCAAACATCACAACCTCCAAATATTCGATTGCTAATGCAGTGCACAGAATTTTTTCGTTATCAATGCCAATCTCTTTAAAGTCTTTAGCTTCCTTCTTATCAAAGCACGGATAAAAACTTGCACCATTGAATTCCCCGTTAAAGGACTGGAATTTAAGAAACTCGTACAGTACTTCGATTTTTGATTCTTTAAAGTTGAGCTTGAGTTCTGGATCTTTTGTTTTTGATTCTTCAACATTTTCTTCTGATGCACTGGCAAATGAAAAAGAGTCACTACAGAGTGAATCCCCTTCCTCAACCAGACTATAACTTATTGCCATAGCTAAGAGAATTCGAATAAATTAAAAAATCATCTATTTATCTGTTAAATACATAAAAATAGATTCACGTACATCTTAATGAAGCTACTCGCGGAGAACTCCTGACTGAAAAAAATGATTTTTGTATAGGCACTTCTCTCTTCTCGGGATGAAACAGCTTTCCAACTGACTTATTATCACTTTCATCAATTGCAAGGAAACTAGGAACGGTATGGTCGAAAATAAGTTGAAAATTCAATTAATTATTAGTAGTGTAAAACTAATTAATGAATGATTACCTCGTGGATTTCGATGCTAAATTAAATGTTATTCCTAAATAAACTACTTGTTCTTCTACAACTGAAACTGAGATTGACTTTCCTTTGTTCTTTGGATGCTTGTGAATAAAGGAGGTACCGTCCTCGAGATCTTGAATAAGTTTCCTGGCGGCAAGTGTATGAATCTTTGACCCTTGCAACATTACTGGGTCTAAGGGAATGTTAAGTTTCATAGGTCCGTCCGGAGATTGTGCGGTTAACATGATCTCCTTATTTGGGCTAACGCCCTTTGCTAGTATGCAATAAACGACAAATCTAACGCCAGAATAAATCGGTGGAATAACAAATGGTGCTTGTTTAGTTTTGGCATCTGTAACTATGGGATCCTGTGGAGGGGGACTAGGATTTTTGTCAACGATGCTAATTGTTTGTTTTGTCTCTGCCTTCTGATCAAGATCATCGTATTCGGATTCATTCCCCGCCCAGATAATCTTGTAATCCTTAACCGGAGGCTTGATAGCATTCTTTAGCATACCTATAATTTTCTTATCCATGCGCTCACTAATGGTTACATACTGAGCGTAGCCTTTTCCGGCGCGTGCAACAGATTCGACAAGATTATGAGATACTGAATTGCCAATTCCAATAGAAAACAATCTAAGGTTATCCTTCTTTTGCTCAATATTGGTGCGAATAAGTTCCACCAATGTCCCGACGTCCCAAACTTCACCGTCAGTAAGAAGGAAAACAGATGTTTGCATGTCAAACCTAGAATTTTCGAACGCCCACTTTAGTGGATTATATATTTCCGTGCCGCCATAATTAGCTTCCATGGATTTTGCATGATCGAGAGCCCGAGTAAGGGTGACCTCGGAATAAAGTTGGCTTTGCGGGAACAATGAATCATGGTGAGAACCGAACGATACCACATTAAAATAACAGCCTTCTGGAAGAGAGCGAAGCAATAATTGAAGAGTTTGAGCCGCTTTTTGAATAGGTTCTCCATTCATTGAACCTGATCTTAAATTATGGTCAGATAAATCATTTTATAACATGTAACATCAAAAAAGTTTTCAAAAGTTTTCTCTACCTATCTATAATAAATATTAATTCTACCAAAGTTTCATTAAGCGCAAATTTTGGAACCAAAGTAAGCATAATACAATTGGTTTCGGTCGTAGAGTTATATTCGACGAACGCCCTATGATAGATAAAAATATTACGAGTTTTTACTTTGTCATCGAAAAAAAAAACCATTTTCTTACACAAGTAATACCTTGGCGCATCAAGATCCAAACTTTTAACAACCAATATAAAGTCCTTTTCTAAAAAAGTTACATCTTCGGCTAAGGTAATCTTTGCAACTTTAGGATCTCCATCAATATTAACTTCAGTAGAAATATGATGTGAAGGAGACTCGATTGCCTGAATGGATGAAGTCATCCTGCATGTTACGTTAAGATCAAGGTGATAGCTGGTTGTACTCGAATAAGATATTGATTCCTGGATGGATGTATTGTCACCATATCTCGGGGCAATAGCAGTAGGTAAGACGAATCGTATTTGTTCAGATTCAGCATCGTGTTTAAGTTCAGTGACGTATGTGATTTTGATCACCACAGTCTGGCCAGAGGCGATGTTTCCGACAGTGCATTGGAACACATCGGCAAGTTTTTCCTCCAACAAATAGGCGCC